TTTTTTCTTGCCGAGAGGAAGCTAAATGAGCCATACTCAAGAACAGAAAGAATAGTCGTTTTATATAGTTTAATGAGGTCTTCCGGGTGAACACTAGACTGATGCAAAATTTGAAATTTTTGCTCCACAGTGTTAAAACGGTTTCACATCGGGTCCTGATTAGCCTCCGAAAGTTTAAACTCATTTGATAAGAAACTGACTTGGCACAAACCATTTGAAGTTTATATGGAAATTACTATGGGAAAACAAAACTTTTTGTTCATTGTCTTCTAGCATTTTTACATATTGTACTGTTAACCAATTCTATTGCTATTCTTATGGAAATTTTTATCAGCTACAACTTTGCAGAAAATCATTTTTCAGCCAAACGTCAAATTAAATAGTTATTAGTTGTTTAAGCGATTGATAATCTTATGGCAAGATTAAGCAACTGTATTGTGGGCAACACTGTATTTTGCAGTGTGACATAGTAGCTATGATTTTTGTCCTCTATTCTACGCGCCATAAACATCAATGTTTCCTGCTGAACAGTTGATTGAGCATAATCATAAGACATCAGTGACTTGAATCATTAATAACTTTTGTTCCTAACATTTGATCGAAAAGTAGTCTTGAACAAAGTTGTAGCTGAGAAAATTGTCAACAAGCTCAGCTATCATTTTCTAAAGTAGAGTGAACTGGTGAGTTTGAGATAGATATGAACCGAAATTATGGTTTCTCTATAGTAATTCCCATATAAACTTCAAATGGTTTGTGCAAAGTCAGTTTCTCACTAAATGAGTTCAAACTTTGGGAGGCTAATCAGGGCCCAATTTGAAACCGTTTGAGCACTGTTGAGCGAAAATTTAAAATTTTGCATCAGTCTAGTGAGCACCCCACCATGTCACGGAAATTGATCGTAGAAAATTAATGCTTCGTTGACTCTTTTGTTTTAAATACGTAGACTCCAAGGTATTTGAAGGTCAAAAATTGTGTAATGTCTCTGCCCAAAAGATTTAGACGCAGTTGGGCTGGAAACCACTTCCTTGTAAACACTGCCAATTCAGTTTTTTTCGTTGAAAATTCAATCCCCAAATTTCAAGCCCAGAAGGACAGATTATCTAGGGAATTTTGCAAAGGTCCTTACAAGTTTTCCGCACGTGGACCTCTCAGGGAAACCATGGCATCGCCTGCAAGGTGTCTAAGCGTGCATCGATTACCTAAGCAGTTATCAATACCTTTGACATAGAAATTATAAATTAAGGGACTTGAACATGAACCTTGGTGTAAGCCCATGCAGCTTATTCTAGAAGTTGTCAGTTGACCTAGATTGAAGGTTATTTGTTTTTCTGAAAGCAAATTAACCAAGAAATTATTTAAAATACCGGGTAATCCGTTACTGTGCCAAATGACTGACAGTATGTCTATGGAAACTGAATCGAATGCGCCCTTAATATCCAAAAAGACTGAAGCCAATTGCTCCTTCCCAAGTAACAATTTTGGTTTTATGGGGGTTCGTTTGTTCCTGTACTCTTTCGAAAACCAAATTGCATATTTGAAAGCAGGTTGTTTGATTCAACCCAATGGTCAAGTCTTGATAGGATCATTTTTTCTAATAATTTCCTCAGGCATGCTAGCATAGAGATCGGACGGTAAGAATTGTGATCTGACGCTGGTTTCCCAGGCTTTTGAATAGCTATTACTTTACCCTATCTCCATGCTGTTGGAACTATATTGAGTTCCATAAAGGAATTATACAGGTTAAGTAATCGACGTTGAGCGTTATTCGATGAAAGAAGCGCTATTCGATGTTATTCGATGTTATTCGAGTTATTCGATGAAAGAAGCGCCATTGAAAATCCCAGCATTGTTAATGGTTCATCCAGAGAACCGTTACTTCGGGCTGTATCCCGTAAAGTCGGTTGTGCTGGGACAAAGCCTGGACAAACCTTTTTAGCGAACTCGAATATCCATTGAGAGGAGTATTCTTCATTGGAGGATGAGCGGTTTCGCATATAGCGAGCCTTTTTCCATAGCGTTGTCATGGAGGTTTCTCTAGAAAGTCCCTCGATAAAAGTACGCCAGTAATTTCTTTTCTTTGCTTTCAGTAAGTTTCAGTAATTGTTCTCAAAGTTCTGTGCAAAGTTATCCTGAATCGGATACAGGAGAAGATCGACGCGACTCTCCGACGGCAGCAGGCAGGATTCCGTGCCGGAAGATCTTGTGTGGACCATATTGTCACGCTCCGCATCATCCTGGAGCAGGTCAATGAATTCCAAGAGTCCCTTTATTTGGTATTCATTGACTACGAAAAGGCTTTCGACCGTCTCAATCACGAGAATCTGTGGGGCGCCCTGAGATGCAAGGGAGTCCCGGATAAAATCGTCAACCTTACTGAAGCGCAGTATGAGGCTTTCACGTGCAGAGTTCTGCATAACGGAGCCATGTCCGACCCTATCCGGGTAGTCGCTGGTGTTAGACAAGGATGTATACTATCACCGCTACTGTTTCTCATCGTAATCGACGAGATCATGGTAGGTGCAATTGACCGTGTACCGAACCGTGGGCTGCTTTGGCAGCCTATCACCAAGGAGCATCTCAACGACTTCGATTTGGCTGATGATGTTGCTCTACTAGCACAACGGCGCTCTGATATGCAGAGTAAGCTCAATGACCTAACCGAACGCTCCTCTGCGGCGGGTCTCACCATCAACGTCAACAAGACCAAATCCTTTGATATCAACACGGGCAACCCTTCCAACTTTACGGTAGCGGGGCAAGCAGTGGAGAAGGTCGAAAGTTTCCAATATCTTGGCAGCCAAATAGCGTCGGACGGCGGGACCAAGAGCGACATAGGTGCACGAATCAAGAAGGCTAGGGCTGCCTTTGCGAGTTTACGAAACGTATGGAGATCCAACCAGATAAGTCAACGCACCAAAATCCGAATTTTCAACTCGAACGTGAAATCCGTGTTGTTATACGCCAGCGAGACGTGGCGTGTATCAGCGGAGAACACTCAAAAGCTGCAGGTCTTTATCAACCGATGCCTGTGGTATATAATTCGTGCCTGGTGGCCTCACAACTGGATCTCGAATGCCGAGCTCCATCGTCGATGTCATCAGAAGCCGATAGCAACAGAAATTCGAGAGCGAAAGTGGAGGTGGGTCGGCCACACACTTCGACGGGGCGGAAACGAAATCTGCAAGCAAGCGCTGGATCCCCGTGTCGAAACGTCGGGTAAATAAAAACTCGTTCAATTTAACAAAGACTGCGTAGCCGTTCAATAAAATATTCAACGATACAGTCGATCCTCCACCAGGTCTTCTTTCTGTTCCTTCTTTACACGTGAAATATCAATCGGATGCATCGGGTGTTACTAGATACTACAGAATCAATACGTTTTGCATATTAAAACAATATAATTCGTAGTTTTGGTGCAAGGCGTAACAACCAGATGCATCATAGAGTTGAAAATTTGAAATACGCCATGCAAAAGGAACCGTTTTTGATGATTTGATTTCTACTTTTTCGTGTTTATCAAGTAGTTTGAGAACTGTTCTCTCTACATGTGACAAAACATGGTTTGTTCACATTTTGGCTCTCCCGCCCCTTGCAAATGTTAGTCTAGATTTCATGAAACGCACTCCACCAATTGTAGTGTGGAAAGCATAACCATCAGGCGTGAACCATTGAAATTCAATAGAGGAAGAACATAGACAAAGCCTAAATGTATGCTTCCATGGTATGAAATCATGAAATTTTTGCTGGCCTTTTTAATTTTACCCAATTGAACTAGAATTTTAAAGCATATCAATTGTAATATCTTGCCAATAGCCGCCTAAAACAACATTTAGATGGAATTGTACTTAAATATCGATTCCCTATGTTGATGAAATGTAGATCTTCCTTAGCATGGGCATTTTACCCACATATCCCCTAATTACAAATTGTGAATTATACTTAAAATGTAGATAGGTAGTATGTACCTGTACCTACATGGACAAAGGATAAATAATCCCACTGTAATGCAGCGCAATATTTTAGCTAAATGCTTGACAATAGGCCATGAGCAGAATTATGGCACTTTATGGCTTATCGAATAACTTAAATTTAAGAACGAATTAAGAAGACATTTATAAATTGCCGATTCATCTTCCTAGATAAAATCCGATAAAATCATGACAAAATGCAGCAATTCACATTTCCCTGCCTAATGTTTCCCCCGGCAAACCTAGTTAGGCAGCTCTACTTCCGACTGCCAACACACGCACTGCAACGCCGCATGTCCGCAGCAGCGCTAGTTCCGCGCAATCAGCCGTATATCGGAACCATTCCATTAACCAAATTAAAATCATACCAGTTAAAACTTGCAAACTCATTTAACGAGAGCATTTGAAAGCAAAAAAAAAACCAACACACCAGCAAACAGCCCAAGCACCACTGTCACAAATGGGAAAACCACATCAACGCTCGGCTGCCAAAGCGCAATAAGCTTTTTCCCGGGAAATGTGTGTATATCGACATTGCCTCCACCTCCATTCTGCATTCGCCTCTAGCAGCATCATCGTCATCGTTTGTTTTTTTTTGTCGTCGCCGTCGCTATGCTTCACGCGCGCTGTGACGCAAATCACGACGAATTGGCTCCTGGTAATTTTCCCCCCTCATCCTTTAAGGCCTCCCCCATTTCAAGCTCGCGCCTGCTGCTCCGGCGCGGCAACCGGTATCACCTTGGAACAACGCTCTAGAGCGCGTTTTCAATGGCACGAATCAAACAATTCAATCCAAATCAAGGTTCAAGTACTCTCGCGTCATTTAATTATTATTATTTATTCATACCAGGCAATGGCCACGCGGACAAAAAAAACGTCGAAAAGGGTTCGGCAGGATTATTTCGTTATCGTAGCCTACTAAGGCAGTCAGGCAAGCTCACGCACACACTTACAAAACACATTAAATCGGTGAATGGAACAGAATCACTGACTGTTACTCTGTTACTCGTTAGGAAACACTTGCATGCTTACTTTTGTTATGGTTATTGTTATTGTGGTTATGCTGGTGCGTGCCAATACCTGGACTCGGTCCGGGGCTGGGAGATCCGCCGAGGGGTGACGCCGAATGCGGGTATCCGTTGGACATCTCCAGAATTCCGCCGGAGGGATACACTGCAATGGGGGTGAGAAAAATGGATTAGAACTGTGCGATTACATGCAGAGCAGATCACTCGAGGAATAATTTCTTTAGTATAGTGACGCAACGACTGTGTTGCAGCAAGTTTAGCCTTCTCGGAAGCCATGAATGCGAACATGAAGGTCGTAATATGTACAGGGCAAAGTTAGGTGACAAATTTAAAACGGTAACTTCCTTGTTGGTTTGTTATCCAACGATGAATATAATAAAAGTTGCTGGCATAATCTTTTAATGTTTCAATCCAAAAAGTTGCATTAAATAATCTTTAGAAACCTTTTCTTGAATGGTTTGTCGCTCGTCAGGGAAACGTTCCATAATAGTACGCATTTCCATGGAGCCGCATGGTGCCACACACATGTAACCTACCTGAATCCGTTTCTGAGCTGGAAGGCCGCGGACTAATACTATTGTGTGCCATCTGGGGACTGCTCTGCATCATGCTGGAATCGTTGTACGTCCCAATCACCGGCACCGACACTGGCAGCGAGTAGCTATTGCCGGCCATGTTCACCCGCCCGCTCGCCGACAGCTGCTGGTTCCGTTGCATCATGATCTGAAAGTCCTCGTCGATCTTGTTGTACTTGGCTTCGGTGCGCGGCGTGAGCGTATAGCTGTCTTCCGGTTCCGGCGAGTCCGGCGACATGGTGCCATTTTTGTTCTCCTTCTGTGCGTTTACCTGCAACTGTGAAACAGACAGAACCTTACAGGAATTACGACTGCGATATATGACCCGGGTGGGAGGCACGGTGAGAGCGAGAGAGTGTGATAAGCAGCCTCGGTAGTCTCAATGGAAAATATTACCGCACGGGCACGTACTACAGGACACGCACAGGGAACACACGCGCACACACACACACACACACTGCAAACCACACTGCAATGCGATGCAATCGAGCATAGGAACTAAAAGCATAACTAAAGGTAGGAAGGTCGTAAAATGCGGATTAACAGGTGTATAATCGTAAAGAAGGGATACTAATTCGAGTGCTACGAAACGAACGGACTGGAGGCGAAAAATCAATTTATGTAAATTTACTGGCAAGCAGGTAAAAGTGTCCTCTCTGTGCTCAGTCGGTAAAGGTTCAGATTTAAAGCAAGACCACGCTGGGAGGTGACGGGGTTCGATTCCCGGTCCCGGTCTATGAATTATTTGGGTTGAAAATTTTCTCCACTTTCCTAGACAATAGAGTATGATTGTACTTGCCATTGTAGGTGCAAAAAGAGAACAGGCTTAGAAATCTCTCAATTAACATTAAGTTGAAGGCCAACGTAAAGTCCCAGTAGGGACGTAATAAAGCCAAAAAATAAGAAGAAGTTAAAAGTTTCGGCGCAATTCTCGGAAAACTAGGTTTATTTTTAACACTGACTAACTTCCCAAGCAGCACGCTTCCATCGAAATAAGTTGCTGCAACATGATTGTGACTGGAATAAGGGTTCTCAAGACCTAGCAAGTTTTCTTTTTTGCCGAACCAGGGCGTTACTCTTGGCAATGATGTACCAAGAATTTTGGGAAATATCCGAAATATTTTGATAAGTTTCGAAAACTTCAAGGAAGTTCCAAGCGCTACATTAAAGTCCTTACTTTTGGGAAGTTTCAAGATCTTTAAGGGTAAGTTCTGAGAAGTTCAGGACAGTTCCATAAACATAAAAAAAATCGTCCTGCCACGGCGGGACAACGGCGAATGCCGGAATATCTCCGGAATGTTTTCGGGTTGCGGGAGGACCACCCGCTGTTATGAAATTTCCGACGATTTATGGTTTTCAAGAAAGAGGTTTTTTTCAAGAAATGGTGCTGCGAGGTAATAAAATAGCAGCACATTGATTATGGGCTGTCGAGGTCCGGTACGTAAAAATTAAGCATAATGAATACATCTCATATAGAGTGGTGTTTACCGGTTCAGAATTGAATCGATATAATGAACCGGTACACGAACAGCGGTTCATAGAAGTTGAGCTGTAATTTCTGGGAAATTACATATAATTAAATAAGCATAATCAATGCATGCCACATAGATTGGCTTTCACCGGTTCAAAAACGAATCGGTAAAATGAACCGATTGAATAACGAGCAGTTCCACGCCAAATAATCAAAAAAAAAACTTTGCAAAATTTTGTGTTATGGACAATCATTCACATTTTTACACTTATGAACACTGCCGTTATACGCATAAGAGTCACACGGTGCATAAGGATTGCATAGAACAGAAGACAGTTATGCGTGTAACGGCAGAACATCTCTGGATCATAAAACTGCAATCAGCACTTTTCCTTGAGACGAAAGAAAATTACTAATTCTTCGAGATCTTCAAACTTTCCCAAAAGCCCAGTCATTTCTGAAGTTATTCCAACTGCCATAAAGATCTCTGAATTTCACTAAACTTCTCCAGACTCCCCTGAACTTCTCAGAACTTTTTTAAAGTTCGGTCAATTTTTTTTTTAAATTAGCTGATCTGAAAGAACTTCAACTTTGATCTACCCTGAAGTTACCGTTAATTGCCTGAAGTTTTCGAAAACTCTTTGAAGCTCGTGGAACTCCCCTTATAATCTCTAAACTTCTTTGAATTTCTCTGGACGTGCCTTGAAGGTTTCGATCCTTTATGAACTTCCCTAAATATCCAAGAAGTTTTCTTAATTTCTCTAAAGTTCCGGCAATTTTATTAATATTCATAGAACTTCCACGAGGACCTGGCTATTTTCCTAATATTTCTGAAATATTCCATAATTTCTCGGAGCTTCTTTAAAGTGCCAGCAAATATTTTAATGGAACTGCTCTGAAGATCTTTGATCTTCCTCAAAGAACTCATAACAGCTCTGAAAAATGAACTGAATGAAGCTGCCGATAAATCCCTACGCTTCTTTAAAACTCTTTGGGCTTGCCTGAAGATCTCGGAACATTTCTGAAGTTTTCGAAAGTTCCCCGGGGTTATTTTCCTGAAATATTCCATAGTTTCTCGGAGCTTCTTCAAAGTGCCAGCTAATACTTAATTGAACTGTTCTGGATATCTTTGATCTTTCTCAAAGTACTCATAACAGCTCTGAAAAATGAACTGAATGAAGCTGCCCTAACCTTCTTTAAAAATCTTTGGGCTTGCCTGAAGATTTCGGAACATTTCTGAAGTTTTCGGAAGTTCCTTGAGAAGCTGGCTATTTTCCTGATATTTCTGAAATATTCCATGATTTCTCAAAGTTTCTTTAAAGTTCCAGCAAATATTTAATTGAACTGCTCAGAAGATCATTTTTAAAGTTTTCAGAAGTTCCCTGAGGACGTGGCTATTTTCCTGATATTTCTGAAATATTCCATAACTTCTCGGAGCTTCTTTAAAGTTCCAAAAAATATTTCATGGAACTGCTCTGAAGATCTTTGATCTTCCTCAAAGATACTCATAAAAGCTCTGAAAAATGAACTGAGTGAAGCTGCGTATAAATTCCTAAGCTTCTTTCAAACTCTTTGGGCTTACCTGAAGATCTCGGAACATTTCTGAAGTTTTCAGAAGTTCTTTGAGGACCTGGCTATTGTTCTGAAATTTCTGAAATATTCCATAATTTCTCGGAGCATCTTAAAAGTTTCAGCAAATATTTAATAGAACTGCTCTGAAGATCTTTGATCTTCCTCAAAGAACTCATAACAGCTCTGAAAAATGAACTGAGTGAAGCTGCTCCCTAAGCTTCTTTAAAACTCTTTGGGTTTTCCTGGAAATCTCGGAACATTTCTGAAGCTTTCGGAAATTTCCTGAGGACGTGACTATTTTCCTGAAATTTCTGAAATATTCCATAATTTCTCTGAGCTTCTTTAAAGTTCAAGCAAATATTTAATGGAACTCCTTTGAAGATCTTTGATCTTCCTCAAAGTGCTCATAACAGCTCTGAAAAATGAACTGAATGAAGCTGCCTATAAATCCCTAAGCTTCATTAAAACTCTTTGGGCTTGCCGTACGATCTAGGAACATTTCTGAAATTTTCGGAAATTCCCTGAGGAGCTGGCTATTTTTCTGAAATTTCTGAAATATTCCATAATTTCTCGGAGCTTCTTTAAAGTTCAAGCAAATATCTAATGGAACTGCTCTGAAGATCTTTGATCTTCCTCAAAGTACTCATAACAGCTCTGAATGATGAACTGAATAAAGTTGCCCCAAGCTTCTTTAAAACTCTTTGGGCTTGCCTGAAGATCTCGGAACATTTCTGAAGTTTTCGGAAATTTCCTGAGAACGTGGCTATTTTCCTGATATTTCTTAAATATTCCATGATTTCTCAGAGCTTCTTTCAAGTTCTAGTAAATATTTGATGGAACTCCTTTGAAGTCCTATAATCATCCTCAAAGTACTCATAACAGCTCTGAAAAATGAACTAAATAATGCCTATAAATCTCTAAGCTTCTTTAAAACTCTTTGGGCTTGCCTGAAGATCTCGGAACATTTATGATGTTTTCGGAAGTTTCCTGAGTTTCTCAGAACTTCGGTAAAGATAATTGAACTTCTCTGGGGTTATTTGGTCTTCTCTGATGTTCCTGAAGCTAACCTGATGTTTTGAAATTCTTCTTAAGTTCTTGGTACTGTCCTGACATAAATGGAACTGTCGTAAAAATCTTCAAACTTTCCTGAAAACATTTTGACTTCTGTAAAATTTTCAAAACATTTCTGGAGTTTTCCAAAATTTGCAGGAGTTCTCTGGGCTTCCCGAAAATTCCTGGAACTTTCTTTCTACTTTCGAAAGTTTCTCGAAATGTTCCTCAAGCAGCCATCTAACTTGATTGAAACTAACCTTAACAGATCATTCAACTTCCCAGAAATTCTGGACTTCCCGGAATCGATTGAGACTACCCATAAGATCTCTGAGCTTCCGTGAAGATCTCTAGACCTAGCTTCTCTGAGGTTTTTGGAACTTCTTTAAAGTTTTTACGATTTTCCTCAAGTGGTTCGGATTGCTCTGAAGTTTTTTCGAATTCCTAGAACTTCGTAAAAATTTCTGCAATTTCCCTGAAACTTCCCAAAAAGTACCCAAAATTTTGCAGAATTTCTCAGAATTTCCCAGAAAATTCACGAAACTTCCACGAAATTCTTGGTATTTCCTTACACTCGTCGGAACTTTTTAAGTTTCTACTTTGTTGTAGACCACCCGAAAGTTCTCGCTACCCTAATAAATAAATACCATAAACGAACTGTATGCCGTATGGGTAAACTATCCCACAAATGGTTTGAATGATACCCAGAACACGTCGTTAAGCTCTCTTTTATGGTTATTTTTATTAGGGTACTCTTCTAATGATTGCCCTGAAATTACTATTTGTTTTTTTCTCTCGGCTGGATTGTCTCTTCGCCCTAAAATTGATGAAACTCTCCTAAAGACCTTAGCTTCACGACGTTTTCTGCACTTCCGTGAAGTTTTCGGAACTTCTGTGTAATTTCCTATTTTTTTTTTTCCTTAAGCTCTCTTAACTTTCCTGATCTTCTCTGGACCATCTTTAGTTTTTGGAACTTCTTGACTGTTCTCGCAATTTTCTAAATTTAATGTAACTGACTTAATGTTCTCGAAATTATTCGATTTTCCTCAAGTTGTTCGGATTGCTCTGAAGTTTTTAACGTAGGACTACGTCTTTAATTTCTATACTGGGGGTCACATTAAAAAAAAAATCAAAATTCAGACATGTAACGTAAAATCCCAAACACGGACGCAACGATAGAGCGC